CTGTGAGTGATTCAGCACTCCTTTGTCTCCTCAGAGCCACTCACAAAAAGCTGCCCTCTAAAAGGAGCTTGTATAGGAGCTGGAAGAGATGGGGGCTGCAACATACATCCAGGAGGAAACAGAGAAGGAGCGGCCATGCAGGCCCAGATCCCTTTTCCCCACATCCCTTTTATTGTTCTCCTGAGACCTCCCATCACATTCCATTCCCTGTGGTTCCTCCTCTCCTGTCAACCCCATGTTGTACTGGGACCTGGAATTCCATGGGTCAGAGAGGAAGAATGGTTCCTGGAACAATGGAAGAGATTAACCCCCTTTTGCAGAACAAAAAGTTGGTCCTTTACTACCCAACAGGACTTTTGGTGGAGCTCTCCAAGCTGGGAAAAACAGGAGCCCAGGTTACATCTGTCAAAGGCAGGAACAAAAGGACCTGTAGGAGGCTGAGTGGGATGCTCCACTGAGAACAAATCACCTCAAAATTAGAATCTGAGAGCTCGGGAATCAATATTCAAGGTCAAAGGGGTCAATGGCAATAAATAGTAAGGCTTATGTGTGAGCTGTGGCATTTACAAAGTACTTCCATACATAGAGACCATCACACAGTCTGGAAGCTGGAGAAGCTGACAACTTGTTCAAAATAAGGACTCAAAGATTTTGCCTCCAAAACAATCCATAATTCTTCTATTGTAACTGTCATCCAGTGGGTCACACTGTCATCAGCAGGTGAGACCCATTGCCCAGCCCCATCACTGCTGACTTCACACAGAGGGCAGAGTGGGGTTAGGCGGCAGACTCTGGGTTCTGATGCTGTTGCTTTCTTGCTATGGGAGCACAGTTTTCTGGGAAGGCCCGGCTCTGGAACGGTTGACCTCAGCAATGGTGGCTGGGGTCTTATGGGAGGAGAAATTGACCCTAAACCTGGGAGAGCCCAGAGCTGACTGAAAGGAATTCTTAGTAAGAGATCTTGTTCATTTTCTTTCCCTGCTTCTGTGTCACTGCTGAAAGTGTGAATGTATTGTATTTCAGTCACTGCTGAAATTGTCACTGACAATTAAAAAAAAAAAAAAAAAGAGTTCCAGACCTATTTCTTTCTCTTCTTATTCTAAGCAAGCAGCAGACATTCATTATTAATAAGTGACTTTCTACATTACTTTAATTGAGATCTGTATTGTAACCATGTTAATCACTTTTAAAGTTGATAAAACTATTATCTACTAATTCTTCTCTGGCAAAGTCAAAGAATGGAGTCTTCTACTGAAAAGGGGCACAGACTCTCAGAGCTACAGGAATGTCTATTCTCTGTTCTCTAGGAATCTGCTCCCTGGGGACAAGTGGATTAGCACGTGACTAGAGCCTTTCAGAGACCTGGCACTACTCAGCACACAGGAAGAGGATGGCCCAGAGACCTCCGGGGTGGGAAGGGAGCTGAGCAAGTGTTGAGGGCCTGTCTCCTCAGGTGTCCTCACGTATGCCTAAGTACATGGCCTGTAAGTTTGGGATAAAAGCTCTAGTTCCATTCTACCTCTCGCCTTGCCCTACTTTTTTTCATAGGTTGGTGTTCTAATTTCTACAAGAGTTCTTGTTCCTAATATCTCTCCATTCCAAATACTGATTTAGAAAAGTAGGAATCAGGAAAGGAAAACAAGAGTCAGTCTCTTTTGTGAGCTGGGCCTTGGGTTCCTTCACTTGATTGTTGTTTGTGTTCTTTTTTAACACTGGTAAGTGTAGACACCACTGAATGCAATAATATGATAGATAGATGATCCCAACTACATACAAATAAAAATGGATGGGGTGGGTATACCTGGGTGGCTCAGTTGATTAAGCACCTGACTCTTGATTTCAGGTCAGGTCATAATCTCAGGGTCATGAGATGCAGCCCTGGCATTTTCAGGCTCTGCAATGGGCATGGAACCTGCTTGAGATTCTCTCTCCCTCTGCCCCTCCCACCCTCTAAAAATTAAAAAAAAAATAGGTAGAACCAAAGCTCCAGGGCTCACTAAAATACAGAATAAACCAGCCACAGTCCTCCACCAGCTGAAGCACACTGACACCTCAGTCAATTGAGCAGGGAAGGCACAGTCCAGCATAGAGCTCCAGCCCATGTCAGAGGACTAAGGAGCAGTCCCAGGATTCTGGGTGTGGAGGAGGGGATAGAAAGAGGAAGGTGAATCCAAGGCATCTGCCCCCATCCAGCCTAGCCAACCCTGCCACTTCTCATGACCACTAGATCCTCCACCCTCTGCTGTGCTCTCTTGCTCTCTACCTACATATTGTGTGTGTGTCGAGATTTATCATAGATTAATTAATATATTGTTACATATTTAATTATACTAAGTATTTCATATAATGTGTATTAATGTGTAATTATACATTATATGACATGTATATATATGCATATGATATATATGTGTGTGTGTACATGTACAGTATGTACATGGTGTGTATATCTGTGTATAAGATATATTATACTACCTTAGTGCAATTTTTTCTTCAATTTCACCCCAGATATTAGCTGGACTTCTCTCCTCAGGGATACAGATTTGGACTATGCCACTTCCATAGCTTTTAAAGATCTGAAGACCTCCCAAGAATTTTTCTTTTTTTTTTCTCCAAAGAGAATTTTTCTTTTTTAAGATTTTATTTATTTATTCATGAGAGACAGAGAGGCAGAGACATAGGCAGAAGGAGAAGCAGACTCCCTGCAAAGAGCCTGATGTGGAATCCAATCCCAGGACCCTAGGATCACCACCTGAGCCAAAGCCAGACACTCAACCATTGAGCCACCTAGGTGCTTCTCCCAAGAACTTTTTTAATACCCAGCCACACTTTTTGAAAACATCTGCCTTGGAATCAACATACAAACCAAAAGATACAAGTGTCTTCAGCATCCAGCACCATGATTCTCTACCTACTATGTTTCCATACAGTGTGCAGTTTCTACTTGGGACCCAAAAGCATCCCTCATGCTCCCTTCCAGCACTGCCTGAAACCACCTCTCCTGTGTGCACCCCAAGTGTGACTACTCTGTGATTCCTATGAACCCTGATTCCTTCTGCTAGGCTCACTCTTGTGTGCTTCTGTATATTTACTCAATTCATCCTCCTCAACATCCTGTAAAACACACTATTATTGTCACCCTACTAAAGATGAGAAAATGGAGGAGTATGGTGTTTATGTTATTTGCAAGGTTATGCCACTCTTAAAGAGCAGAACCAGGATCCAACCCACATACAGACTTGTTCCAGAGTCACTTTCATCAGCTGAATATCATAGCTACCGACCAATAGTCCAAACCAGAGGAGTTGGATGTGTCAAAGAATAACCATTTGCCTCTACATAGCATTTTGCAGATGGTTTTGCATTTGCTCTAAGGGTTTGCATTTTCTAAATTGCATCTGGGAGCCCCATAAGGAGGCATGAAGCTTGGAGAAGAGGAGGGACTTGCCCAAGGGCCAGAGCTGACAAGGAAGAGTCAAATTTGAGTACAGCATAGACTAGGAGCCATTACTGATTTCTTCTGGTCACAAAGGACAGGAGAAACCTGAGGCCAGGAGGGTCACATGAGCTCCCTCTGACCAAGTGATGCTGAGCTTAAGTAGAGTCCCAGCCATTCTGCATCTCTCAGACTCCTTGCCTCTCTTACTGGGGCCAGGACATTTGCCCAGGACCTAGACAGCCTCTGTAGGGAGAGAAGACAATTAACAAGAAGAATGAGGCCCAGGTGAGCAGGGCTCACGCTGTCTATGAATCCAGGACTCCAGTGGAATGGCTTGTAGGCAACTGCTCTGTCCTGACAGCCCAGAACAACCTTGGGAGAGGGGACCATAGTATCCATTCGGTGCTTCAGACACACAATTTCACACAATGTAGATATCTTTGGTTAATTAATAAGCCAAAAAATTGTACATGTGTAAAGATCATGCTGTTCCCTCAATGCAGAAAGGAAGGGTCTTTTTGATGGAAACAAAATGGTCTTACTTCCAACTCTTTATTCATGCGTGAGTCATTCCAAAGAATTTCCAACCCCAGCTTTATGTCAAATTGAAATGACATATCTCAATCTGTACAGAGCGCAGGGGGTTCAGGAGGTCACTAATTTGCTGGGTTTCACAATATTTCATCTTATCTTCCTATCAGAAGAAATGTTGAGCACACACCTGCAATATGTTTACTTATCTTTATGCACTATTATATGCACTTATAATGTGTATATATGCCACCACTGTAAAATTTATGTTATAAAATATACAGTGTATGCTACTAATAAAAATTTTTAAAGGAATAAGTAATCTATGATAAAACTCTTTCAATTATATCTGCTGTTATTTTTACATAAGCATAAGCACTTGCCCTCCCCAAAATATCATGATTGAATGAAATGAAAGGTAATACCAACATTAATAATACTTTAGTGAGAGGAATGTAATTGAAAATAAGTCTTTTTTAACATTGTGGTTTGATCATTTATAATACACTGACTTGATAGTCTGGACCTGAGTTGATTTAACTCCTTTTTTTTGCCAAGCTCTGTGATGAAGTATATTATGAAATTTGTAAGCACAAACATCATTACTTGATTTGGATGGTGAAGAAAACCTCTCCAATATACAAAGATAGAAGTCAAGGAAGATAGTTGTTGGCTGAGTACATTTTTTCCAGTTCTTGCTAGGTTACAGTATTTTCATGTTGTCAAGAGGTATGGCCTTACTTTCAAGATTCATTTGCCCCTGATGAGGTCCCACTTCTGTAGTTCTCTTGCCTATTCCCTCTGAAGAGCTAGACAGAAAATTTTTGTAGATACTGTCATGTGGATTTGCCATTTGTTCCACTACCAACTTCCCCACGCACAAGAAATCCACATCAACAGGTGGGTGATGTCTGATGGAGACTCCTTTTGAAGGAAGTCACATGATCCCTTCATCTGGTAAAAGAACACCACTTACATTTTATTGATACAAAACATCCAGTTTGGGGATGAATGAACAAAGAAGGACAAATGATCATATTTGTGCAAGAATAAGAGTTTATTAGGAAGTTAACAAGGGATCCTTACTGTATCTCCAAAGACCAAAAGAGTGACAAGGAAGATTTTTTTCCCAATTATGTTCAGTTTTATAACCTGCCTTTTGGCTCCATTACACTTTCATGTCATTATTTTGAAATCACATTTAAATAAGTATTTGTTCAAGCAGAACATGTTATGCAAGTGTGTAATTGTGATAATAGATATTGCCCAATCCTGCTGTAGATTTCTCTATGTGCTCAGAAGACAGAAGAAGCTGATAAGTACTTTGCATTCTAAAGGATCCAGCCAGGAAATTCAGTGAAAGGCAGAGTTGACACTTAGAAGCTGGTACTGGTAGAAATTCTTCCTTTGTCCAAAGTGTGGTCACGTTAGGAGATGCTTGTATTAAGTAGAGTTGAGATGTGACTTTGGAACCCTTCTCCTCCTCCTGGCACCAGGGCCACTACCGCACAAAGGTGTTGCAAGGTCCACACCAAGCACGTTGGGCACAAGGATTGGAGACACAAGGCCCTATTGGCTTGTCACATGCATTGGTTGTGGCACATGGGTTGCAGGGAAGCCTGCAGACAGAAGACCATGGGTGCAAGTTAGAGAAAATGAACTGAACAGATAGGAAAATATTAAGTGTACTTTGTGTAAGAATATAACACTTGCCCAGACTACCTCCGACCAAAAGCTCGAAATTATTGATTTGTTTCCATCAAGATGACTTTCATTCCCACAGCAACCTCATGCATCCCCAAGGGGAACGGTACTAGCTTCCCACTCACTTGCAGTCCTCACTCTCCAGCAGACCCCGGTACGTGTTGATCTCACACTCCAGCCGGGCCTTGACGTCCAGCAGCACCTGGTACTCCTGGTTCTGCCGCTCCAGGTCACACCTGATCTCAGCAAGCTGGGACTCCACGTTGGTGATCATGCACTGCACCTGGTTCAGCTGAGAGCTGTAGCGCGCCTCAGTCTCTGTCAGCGTGTTCTCCAGGGAGTCCCTCTGTGTGAGGAAGACAAAGAATGTCACAGAGCCACTCCCCAGGGGGCTTCTCCATGGGGTTTCAGAGAAGTCACAGGCTTCACGGGTTCAGGAGAGCATGGGCATTACCCTGAACAACACCCACCAGGTTGTGCTGGGCCTGGAGCTCGATCTCCAAGGCGTTGACCGTGCGTCTCAGCTCGATGATCTCTGCCTGGCAGGACTGCAGCTGCTCCGAGCTGGACACCACCTGCTTGTTCAGCTCCTCAGTCTGAAATAGCACAGGAGAGAAGACAGGGTCAGACCTTGCCTCAAGGGTCCCGAGGGGCCAAGGGTCCTGAGTGGCCACGTGCTGAGATGCCCACCTGGGTGGTGAACCATTCCTCCACGTCCCTGCGGTTGGTCTCCACCAGGGCCTCATACTGACTCCTGGTCTCGTTGAGCACACGGTTCAGGTCCACAGTTGGGGCTGCATCCACCTCCACGTTGAGGCGGTCTCCAATCTGGCAGCGCAAGATGTTGACTTCCTGAGGGAGGAAGGGGAAGATGGGAAGTATCACAGAGTGTTCGGATGCTCTCTTATAAAAGCACAGATCAGCTTGTAATCATTCTTAAGCTTTCAAAGCTCTGTTCCATCAGATCCTCTTATAACTGTGTTCTATAATCAGTGACCAACCTGTGTATTTCACTTTGCAAAGTGCTTTCACACCCATGACCTCTTTCCACCCCTGAATTTGGGGTACTCCTCATTTAGAGCAGCGATTTGGCCTCCATGCTGAGATGTGATAGAACACTGTGAGCCCCAAGCACCTAGTTCAGTGTTTTTGCTCCTATACCACAGAGGTTCTTAGGTTTGATTCTTAACTACAGCTAGTAAAATGGTTAGAGTCTGGCTAAAGAGGAAATAAAGTATGCTTACTTCGGAACCTACCATCTGGGGTGAAATAGACCTAACTGGTGACTTGTCAATTCTATCAACCTAGATTTTGCTGAAGGAAATAAGTATCTGTTCACTTCCCTGCTATTCTCTTCACAGAGCCAGCATAACTTGAATCTTGGACTTAGGTAGACATCAGGCTTAAATTGAGAACCATCTCTACCACTTACTATATGGCTTCTAGAAGCTTCTAGAAACCTCAAGTTCTTCATCTGTAAAATGAGAACTACCTTTGGAGTTCCAAAGCACTTAGCATAGCGTTTGGCACAAAGTAAGCTCTTAACTAATATTAACTATCACTATTTACATTTGGTATTTAAAGTTTGCACAAAATGTCCGTCTTCTTTGTCAACTGACGAAGCAGTGACAGTGAACATTTTGCTCAACATTTCCTCTAGGCAACACTGGAGGAGAAGGAAGAGAGTTGATTTTGTTTCCAGCTGAGCCCTCTCTGCTGGGTAGCTGTCCTGGCCTCTCCAGTTGCTAAATGGCGTATTGGGATACAAGATCTCTACAGCCTGGTATGCTCTGACCTGGGAGTGGAAGAAGCTGTGGGCGCTGCCTGGTTGCTGGCCTTTCCTCATTACTGGCCTTGCCAATTTCCTTTACTCTCATTCCTACCTCTTGCAGAAACATCCTAATCTCATATCACAGGCTTTAGATTGCTCATTCTCTACAAATCCCTTTTTGTTTGGAGAACAGTTTCCTCAGTTAGTTGAGTCCCTCCCACAGCCCATGGCAGTTGGAAACAGGCCTTGGCAAGTTTGAGCCTGTTGTTCTTTGGGGAACTTCACCTGCTCGTGGTTCTGCTTGAGACTCAGCAGCTCCTCCTTCAGGGACTCCACCTGGGCCTCCAGGTCGGACTTGCATAGGGTCAGCTCGTCCAGGATCCTGCGCAGGCCATTGATGTCCGACTCCACCAGCTGCCGCAAGCCCACCTCTGTCTCGTACCTGCGATACAGGGGCATCAGGGACCCACCAGACAGGAATGGGCCTGGCCCTGACTCTGATTTGGTTTGGTTTGTCACATAACTGGAAGTTGGAGCTTGCAGTCTCTATAGCCTTCTCTTACATTTAGATTTTTAACAGTGAGCAGTAGTTCCTAGAGGAAAATGCTCTGGTAATTATTTTTTGATAAATAAGGAACCAGTAGATTTAGAGAATAAAAGTCCATAAACTGTGAGATTTCCAAAATTAATAAACTTCTCACATTCACCTGACTGCATTATGAGCATAGTAGAGCACGGCGGTGGGGGTGGGGGTGGGGCATGACTTCTACACTAGTTTGGGGATGTCATCTTGCAGAGAAGCAGCAGTAGGGGAGGGGTCTGAATCTGGAGAAGAGATCTCTGAGCTCTACTGAGCAGTGACTCTGTGGATCCTGGGGGAAATATCTAAGGAAAAGCTTTGTCAATGTTTTGTCAGTGTTGAGGACACACTAAAGGGAAAGAAAGAAGAGAGAGGACACCCCACTTGCCCACTCACTTGGTCCTGAAGTCATCTGAGGCCAACTTGGCATTGTCGATCTGCACCACCAGCCTGGCATTCTCTGACTTGTTACACAAGATCTAGAACCCAAAACGATCTGGAATGAGCTTGGTTACTTTTAACCAACAGCAATTCCTACTAATTATCTTACCTGGAAGGAACAGAATGAGAAATCACAGTGGATCTTATATGAGATTATTAAATGCTATCTATATGCAAAATGTACTCAATAAATATTTGAAAATCAAATTTGGATAAAAAGAATACTGAAATGCGCAACCAAAAGTATCAGGAAATACATAATCGTTTTCTTTCCTAATAAGCAATACTAAAAGGCTGATAATAATAACATCTATTTTTAAAAATCTACCATAGCTCCGCACTGAGCATGGACCTTGCTTAAGATTCTCTCTCTCCCTCTCCCTCTGCCTCACCACCGCCCCCCACCCCTGCTAGCCTACACATGCTCACTCTTTCTCCCTAAAAACAAAACAAAACAGAACTACCATAAATCTGGCCTGGTTCTAGGAGCTGAAGATACAAAAAAATGAGTAAATACTCCCCTCAAGAAACTTCTAGTCCAGGGAGGAAGATAAATATGTAACTGGCTTTTGGAGGGGCTGGGTCAGGGAAGGAGCCATGCCTTCCCAGCCATCCTGGGTGGCTTGGTACCATTTCCTCCTATGTGGTTTCTACTCTTTCTGATTTTTGTCAACCATTTTTATGCCCTCACTAGACACTGAACACCAAGAGAAGTCCAGAGGCATCCAGGTCAGGTAAATTAGGAACCCAGGAGAAACGACAACAAGAAGTCAGAATAGTCAAAAGTCTAGATGGGAGACAGAGAAATTTGTCCAATTCTTACAAAAGATTCTGCTTCCTCAGCTTCTTTCTGGGGCTCAGTCCTTTTTTCTTACCTCAGGGTAATATATCTGGAGCTTGGCAATGCATGGAAGCATTTGGAGGAAGCTTTTAATTACAGCTTATTTATGCAAAGTGCTGCTACCTGCACATAGACTAGCAGTATGCAAATATTCAGGCCTAACAGTCCTGAGCCTCATATACAATGGGCACTCAAGAAAAATGGAAAAGCCAGGCTCTTTAGCTGAGAATTTGCACTGTTTCTTAATCAGATCTCAGATTCTCTCCCTACAACTTCCTGCTGGAGGCAGTGGGGTGCCCACCCCCTCACCTTCTGCTGGAGCTCCTCGATGGTCCGGAAGTAGGACTGGTAGCTGGGACACACGAAAGGCACCTGCTGCTGGCACCACTCCCGGATGCGGCTCTCCAGCTCCGCGTTCTCCCGCTCCAGCTGACGCACCTTCTCCAGGTAGCTGGCCAGGCGGTCGTTCAGGAACTGCATGGTCTCCTTCTCGCTGCCATTGAAGGAGCCCTCACAGAACCAGCCACAGTTGCCCACATTGGCGGGGATGTTGCAGGCCCCAGGCAGGGTGCAGGTGTGGCAGCTGGGGGGCACGCAGGGCCGGGAGGAGCAGGTGGAGCGGCAGCTCAGGTTGGGCAGGCAGCAGTTGTAAGGCATGGTGCTGGAGGGAGCAGGGCACCTGGCTGAACACAGAGTTCAAGTTCTACAACCACAGAGCTGTGGGTCTCCTTCTCCTGAGGAGCATTTATACCCCCTCCACAGTGGGTGTGGACATGGAAGGCAACCTTTTTTTCTTACTCATTTGGTGATTGTCAAAAGCCCTTCCCCTTGGTTTTGTTATGTTTCCTCAGAAGAGTCCCTCACCTCATAAAAGACTTTACTTGGGCTTCTCGCTAAGTCAGGACTCCTCTTCCATGCTGTGCATCAATGAAGTAAGAGCTTCATGGAGTGACTTCAAAGAGCTGGACTCATGAATGCCCTGGCCTTCATTAGTGGGGCGTGGCAGGTCCAGGGACACTGTTGCTGCTTTGCCACCTGGCTTGATGGCCCTGACTCCTTGGCTTCTTGCTAAGATGAGAAAGCACAGCTCTTGCCCATGTATCTTTTGCCAGGTCAGATTTCCAAATGCCAAATTCATGGTTCTCAGAAAGAGGAATAGATCCCATCTGGAATACTTAAAACACCCTGGTTCCCAGTGGCCCTGTTTCTTCATGTGGCAGACATCATATCCATGAAAATGTAAATTAACCAAATAACAGATATTCACCAGGATAACAGTACGTACAGGGCATGGTACAAAATGGAAAGTAGGACCAGGGCTATGGTCAGAACCTTTGTTGAGCACTTGCACAGGCTTATCTTGGTACTTGACCTTTTTCACAAACATGATCTCATTAACACCTTACCATGATCTTTCAAGGTACATAATATTATTCCCATTTTACAGATGGGTAGATAGAGGCCTAGAAAGTAAGAAGTAATACATTTTGAAGCCAGGACTCCAATACATATCTCTGTTCTTTCCATCACTCCATGCTACTTAAATACAAATGAACCATCTCCTTCCCTAACTTCTTAAGACAGATCATTTCTTCTTCCTCTGTGAGCTTTCATCTCACCTTGAGCATGGCAGTGCACAGCTCCTGTGCTCATATACCTCTATATCTCAGTTCCCTGAAGGTAGGGATAGGGTCTAATTCTCTGAATCCTCAGCTCTAAGTGCATGGTACTTAGTAAACCCTCAATAGTGTGTGTCAAGTGGATGAAGGAATGAACATGAGATAATAATCTAAAGTGGGAAATGGTAAGTGGTAAGTGCAAAGTTGAGGTAATGGGGCAAGAGGGCACTGCCAGGATGGGAAGTTCACAGGTACAGATGTGTGCTGGGAGACAAGGCTTCTGAGACTCAAAGGAAGAACATGGGCCCTACAGGTGAAAGAATGGTGTGGACACACAGTGGACAGGAGAGCCCAAGGTTGGTTGGTGAGACTAGTGCCTAGGAGGGGAGAGTTGTGAAGAGAGGTGGTAGAAAAGAAAGCGTATGGGGAATGAGGGCCATATGGTAGAAGTTCTCTATGACAAAGATTACCCTGGAGGAAGAAGTTTTAGGAAATGTTTAGCAAACATTTATCTGTTTTAGCAAAATGAAGGTAAGGCTGGAGGCAAAGGGACTAGCAAGGAGGTGATTGTAGTAGTCCAGGCCAGTGGTGAGGAGGGACCAAATTTAGGTGTCTGCAGAAGAACTGTAAGAGAAGAAATGGTGTAAGAACCATTTTCAAAGAAGCAATTTGTTTTGAACCAGCACCCATTTAGAAACATGAGATGTGGAAGAGAGTCAAGAATGAAACCAAAATTTGGCAAGCAAAATATTTAGGAGAAAAACTTTATCATTCACAGAAACACAGACTATTTTTCTCATCAAGGATGAGCAGGCCACTTCCTTTAACTGACATTCAATTGAGCCCTTCCCATGTGCCAGCAACAGAGCCATGCACTGGAGACGCAATGGTGAGCAAGAGAGACAAACCTACAACCTAGTGAAGAATGTACACCAACCAGGTGCAGGATGCATCTGTGATGAGGCAAGTCCCAACTGCTATAGGAAAACGCACGAGGGGACCTAACCAAATTGAGTGGAGGTCTAGCAAGGCTTTCTGAGGGACATACACATTGCATTCAGGCATGCTTCCCATTTTTCACACAAAAGCTTATATAGGAAATGATAATACTTTATGGCTCACTGGGGCAAAGTGACTAGGCTGCCTTGGCCACTCCAGGGACTCAGAGCATCAGTACTATGGACCTCTCTAACCCGTTCATCTCAGTAAGGTTGGAAAGCTCTGCAATAGAGAAACCAAGAGAAGCTCCGTAAATACTGTTTAAGCCAGAGAGTGACATATGAGGGTGGAGAAGAAGAAAACTCTTCCATCATTTCATTCTGCTTAGATATAAATGGCCTATGTCCTCCCTTAACTTCTGACAGATCATTTTTTCCTCCTCTGTGAGCTTTCATCTCACCTTGTGCATGACATCGTCATTACTTACATGCTTATCTATCTATCTATCTATCTATCTATCTATCATCTATCTATATACTTGAGTTCCCTGAAGCCACACGAGGACTTTTATATGAAAGACTTTGTATACCTCCTTGAGGAGCTTCCCCTCGGAAGGTCAATGGGGAGCCATTGAAGGTTCTAAGAAGAAGAGTGATCTAGTTTCATTCTTGATCAGCTACATTTGAAGGAATAGCGGAATCTATACAGGGAAATGTTCATCAGGTCCTTGTAATGGCAAGCCTTAGTAATCTTGACAGTAATGTTAAGGACAGGTATGATCCAAGTGCAGATGTGAGAGTTAGAAACATGAACCAAGGGAGAAGGTACATGGAGAAGAGCAACAAGGACCTAAGGACCAAACTTTGGGGAATTTCTCCAACCAGAGAGTAGAGAAGGAAAAGGGTCAGAGAGAAGTGGAGAAACAGTGAGAGAAGAATGAAGAGAGACAGCTTATGGCATCAGAGGCCAAGAAGGAAGTTTCAGAGGGGAGGTGAAGGTCAAAAGTGTCAAGTGTGGCAAAGGGGCCCTGTAAGATCAGAACCATGGAGAGGTTCTTGGATACATTGACCAACATGTTGCCAGGACTTTTCCAGGGTCATATAGATGTGCTTACTGTATACGGTACCTGTGTTCTTGAAGTAACCCTCACATTGAACTTTAAGCTATCAAGATTTTAAACACCCAGAGTTGAGATTCCATTGTTTAAAGAAGCCTTGCCATAATCAGTTTGTACACCTTATTATAAAGCTTGTGATCTTTGGTCTTACAAATACAGACTTTCTACAATAATTAGAGTGTGCTTTAAGTAGTTTAAAGATGTATAGCTTGTTCTGATTTGGTGATTCATAATAACTGGTGATTTAGGAACATCTACCCAAGATACATACACAGTTGGAAATGCCCATGCACACTTGATGGGTTGAGCACTGGGTGTTATACTATATGTTGGCAAATTGAACTTAAATAAAAACAAATGTATAAAAAGAAAAAATGCCCATGTATATAACTCAACTTCTACTTTGTTACAAGGCATAAGATAAGACTTATTTGATATCCTAAAGAGATACTATGAAGAAATAATTCAGTTGTGTGCCTAGATGTGTTGTCTGGGAAGGGAATGGGCTCCTTATTGTTGTTCTAGCAGAGAACAGAGCAGAACTCAGAGAAAGATGCTCACAGCAAAAGTCTAAGACTCAGCTGTAGCTGCATATCCAAACCCAGACTGCCATGTATTTGACTTTTCCTTCCCCCCTTCCACTCCCTAATGTAGATACCAAATGTCAAAACTGTCAGAGACAGGGAAAATCTTAGAACAAGAGTGATATCAGGGATCTTTTTTAAAAAATATTTTATTCATTTATTCATGAGGGACACATAGAGAGAGAGGCAGAGACATAAGTGGAGGAAGAAGCAGGTACCTCGCAGGGAGCCCAATGCAGGACTCCATCCCAGGACCCCGAGATCATGCCCTAAGCTGAAGGCAGATGCTCCACCATTGAGCCACCCAGGTGTCCCAATATCAGGGATCTTAATGATCATCTTATCCAAGCTTCTCATTCTATAAATGAAGAAACTGAGACTCAGAATGGAGAAATGGCTTACTTCAGATCATATTGTTGGAAGCCGAATCTCCTCATCTCCACTGTATCCCCAGTCCCCATAACCATAGTGCAGAAATATTGAATAATTTCACAACCAATATGATCTGTCCACTGCCCAGGGGCAAAAAAATCAAAGACAATAAGAAAAGGGGGGGGGAGAAAAAAACCACTTGTTACCCATAAATATATCATGTTGAAGGAGAATAAAGGGTGAATATGGAAATAATAGAATTCAGTGATACTAAGTTTCCTTATTGCCATCCTACTTTCAATCATTATTTCTTTTTTTTCAATCATTATTTCTAAACTGATGGTATCATTTTGTTCCAATAGTTTGGAACAACTTAAATATTTAAGTAAAATGTCCCATCAGTCGGAGTGACTTAGAACACAAACAATAATGATCCTACTCAAGAGCAATATATTTACCCAAAATAAAATACACAAATATAGTCATAACAAACCTAAATATTATATGATTTTAACATTGAGGACAATTGAAAGATAAAAAGAACCACATTATAATGACAAAACTGGATGCTTTCATTTTTTTATTTTTTAAAAAAAGATTTTAATTAGGACTGCCTGGGTGGTTCAGTCTGTTAAGTATCTTGCCTTCAACTCAGGTCATGATCCCAGGTTCCTGGGATCGAGCCCCACATTGGGGCCCCTGCTTAGCAGAGAGCTTGCTTCTTCCTCTGCCCCTCACCCCTATTCATTCTCTCTCTCACTGTCTCAAATAAGTAAATAAAATTATTTTAAAAATATTTATTTATTTATTTATTTATTTATTTATTTATTTATTTATTTTAGAGAGAGCGTGAGGAGAAGCAGAAGGGGAGGGAATAAGGAGGGGTAAAGAATCCAAAGCAGACTCCATACTGAGTTTGGAGCTCTATGCAGGGCTTGATCTCACAACTTTGAGATCATGACCTGAGCTGAAACCAAGAGTTGAACACTCAAAAGATTGAGCCACCCAGTTACCCCAACATTGGATGTTTTTAAATGGTACAGTTTTGAATGCTTTTCCCCATTCTTTGTACTTTTTTGTTCTCTCCAAATTTTCTGAAAA